GAGAGAGACAGAGAGAGACTGAGAGAGAGAGAGCGACTGAGAGAGAGAGACTGAGAGACTGAGAGAGAGACTGAGAAAGAGAGAGACTGAGAGAGAAAGACTGAGAGACTGAGAGACTGAGAGACTGAGAGAGAGACTGAGAGAAAGACAGAGAGAAAGACTGAGAGAGACTGAGAGAGAGACAGAGAGAGAGAGACTGAGAGAGAGAGAGACTGAGAGAGAGAGAGACTGAGACAGAGACTGAGAGAGAGACTGAGAGAGAGAGACTGAGAGAGAGTCTGAGAGAAAGACTGAGAGAGAGACTGAGAGAGAGACTGAAAGACTGAAAGACTGAGAGAGAGACTGAGAGAGAGAGAGAGAGAGAGAGAGAGAGAGAGAGAGAGAGAGAGAGAGAGAGAGAGAGACTGAGACACTACAGAGTTTAAGATGTGATCTCTTTCTGTGTTTGGTTCCCTTCACCCCAAATCTTCAGCAGAATTCTCCACAAATGGCAGAATTCTTCAGAATGTGACAGACTGGAGAAGTAGAGTTTGAACAAGGCTTAGGGAGCTCTCCATGGGGATATGAGGGTTACAAAATGATTGTGACAGAGGAAAAAGCAAACACCAAGAGTTAGCATTTCCTCTCCTTTGATAAGTTATGAGTTCTGTGAGGCTCCTTCTTGCCTGACTCAGTGCCTAGCCAAGGTATTGCCAAAGTGACGGAAAGCCCCTTGCCTCCCTGCTTCCCTGGGGAGGGATGATGCCAGAATTCAGAGGCCATCTCTTTCTGTTCCATCCATCACAACGTGAACTCCTGGTGCTGGACACCAGGATCTTCAGATCAATGTCATTTCTGAAAGCTGGATAGATTGTGTCACCAGGGCAGCTTGGAGACTTCCTGTGAGCCCTGTGAGGTTAGAGACTCTGCAGGTCAGACCCCCCTGCCTCAGTTTCCTCATTCATGAAATGAAAGGGATGGGCTGACATGATCTCAGAAAAGCTCTCCCCATCTACAGTTCTGTGTGTATCTTCTTTGAGCTAGGATTTCATCTTGTGCTCCTAAAGTTGCCATTAATTAAAATTCAATTAACCACCCCAGGCAGGAAATCCAAGGTGAAGGGCTGACACTTCTGATTAAATTGAGAGTGGTAGAAAAAAAATGTAGGAGGATGATGTGACAGGCAGTTTCTAGCATCTTGCTTGCCCTTTATTGAGCCACTTTCCCTGAACTGACTTAAATCCCCAAATGCTTCTCTAATTTTTTAATATAACACTCAGGAGCAATGTTAACCAGCTGCTGTGTTCCATCCATCTCAGGAGGGACTGATTTTTGGTAACAGAGGAAAAGATTCCCCTGAATGGCTCCTTATGCTTTCTAAGGTACAGGGGTTGCAAACTATGACCTATGTATTTACTTAAGATTTTACAGATTGGGAGATTTTTTTAACATAAAAATCCAAGTGTTCAGTTTTCCTTGAAAATGATAAACCCTGAGCTCTTCCTCTCATTGAGCAAAATGAGCTAGAGTTAAGCAGAGGTCTTCTCTTTGGGGTGCTGGAGTGTTCTGGCTTGCTGCAGACCTCCCTACTCCCTAGCACTCCACCCAGCTTGCATTTTCCATGAGCACAAGTCTCCCACCCCTTGGGAGCACTGCCTGCTGCCTTAGGACCGGTAAGGTCTGTACACCCAGAGAAATATAAGTGGCTGAGGGGTGGGCCAGAGTTGCTGTCTTTATCCTCATTCTGCAGGTGGCAACACGTAATTTGGGAGAGGGTGGAAGGGTCTTGTTGGAGGTCACATAGTGAGCTGAACTACCGTGGCCACGCCTCCCACATCTTCATTTAGTGTTCCTCTTCCACGAGTAGACCACACTACAGCTCAGAGTTTGATCTGTAAATTTACTGGGATGTTTCAGTTTTTTAAAAAAATTATGTATTTGATACAGGGTCTCGCTACGCAGCTCAGACTGGTAGTGATCCTCCTGTTTCAGTCTTCCCAGTGCTGGGATTATAGGCGTGTGTGCTACCACACCCACTTTTGGTGGGCAGCTGGCCTGGGGCATATGGTACTGGGGATCAAATCCAATTCCTTGTGCTTGCCAGGCAGGTGCTTGGACCACTGAGCTATCTCTCCGGCTGGATATTTCATTTTGTAAGTGCTCAACTCCAGCAATTCACTCTCCCTCCTTCCAATTTTGGTTGTGAATAGTCCTGAAGGGATTAGTTAAGGTCTGTGGCTCCTGTTGCTTTGTTTGTGCATCTCTGGAGATGGGTGCGCATACTGTCTCCATAGCAACTTGTAGTGAGCAAACAAAGGCTCTTACATCTCAGGTCTAGGAGCATCCTGATGGAAAAGCAAGAAAATGGGGAAACTCATGGCGAGGGCAGTGATCCTCACATCATGGAGAACAGGCACCTGAAGAGCCTGGTGGTTTGTGAACAGACAGAGGATGAGCTGGCTCTACCACCGCCCAGCTCAGTGACCTTATTCATGTCACTTAACCTTTCTGAGACCCAACTTCTGCTCCTCCCATCAGAGGATAAGGATAGTGCCCTGTGGGGTCATTAAGAAGACAGAATCCGTAGTACACCTAACGTTTCCTTGGCACAGAATCCGCCCATTTGGAAGCACACTGAGAAGTGGCCTCTAACAAAATAACCTAAGCACAGTGAGGCTCACCATGTTCAAAATGAGTTTGCATGTTGTCTGTCTGGGTTTTTCAATGATGGGAACTGGAGAGCGACTGTGGTTGGGTGTTGCTGTTCCCACGATGAGTATGTTCATTGGTTTGTTGAGCAGGTGAACGGGGAGGGTTGAGGTAAGGAATAGCTTTGGGTTGGGTTGAAAGGAGTATATGACAGAATATCTTCTTAATAGTGGGCACACATTGACATTTGTAGAAAATCCTGCCTGTCAAATCACTTACTTTTTATTTGAGAAAGACAGAGAGAGAGAGAGAGAGAGAGAGAGAGAGAGAGAGAGAGAGAGAGAGGGCCAGCTCAGCCCACCAGGGGGCAGGGCTGGCCGGCATGTGGCGCCGGGGGATTGAACCGCGGTCCCCGATGCTTTTGCCAAGCTTGCTCCAAGCAGGTGCCCCAGACCACCGAGCCATCTCTCCAGCCAAGAGGAAAGTATTTTTGAGGTATATACTTGATAGAGGACTTTCATCTAAAATGCATACGTAAGGAACTCTTAAAACTCAAT